GCTGCATACCACATTAGCCCAGCCAGTGACAGTCACACATCTCTGCAATAACTGTTTGATTGCAAACTTGACCCTTTCTTCTTCTCAGCCTGAGCTAGACATTTTTAAACAGGCACTCCATTCCCAATCCTCCTTTGCAAAGAATTACATCAGATAACAAAGACTTCTCTGCCACTCATTGTAAGCCTTCTTCTGGAGATCTGTTCTAAGAGGCACTGTGTAAAAAGGTTTTTATGATGAATTCAGAACTACTATCATGTTAAGAGCACCAATTTATAAAGAAGAATTCATTGGTTAAGATCTGAAAAAATAGTTTCTCAGGCCCTACTGACCCAGTTTTCAACAAAAAGAATCAAGTGATGCAAATTAAGTTTTGAGACATTGTTATGCAGTCTGAGAAATTTGTAAAACTGTGTTTTGCAGTAATTTCTTAATAGAAGACTCAATGACTACTTAATTCTACTCTATGCAAAAAAAAAAAAAAATTTAAAAAAATTCTCATTTCTTTATATTCTACAGGTCTACATTCACAGGTAGTGATAAAATATGCAGTCCATAGTGATGAACAGTTCTAACAGCAACATGGTAATAAAATTTAACTTTCAAGTACTAAACAGTACTTAGATTTTTTTTTCTGTTAGAATGTAATACTCTCATCCTTTCATCTGATTAAAAAGTTATAAAAACCTACACACTAGCCCTGATAGGATGTATGACACTGAGACCCTACTTACATTTACTAGTAACTATAGGAGACAATCAGTTATCAAAATAAAAGGCCTTATTTTCTTCAGTAAAAACAAACATGCTTCCAGCAACTGTTACCCCACATATTTTGCTTTCATTTTCACATGCTTTGATATAAATGCATCAGGTGTGAAAATAAGCATTTTAAATAAATGGCAGTTCAAGTTAAAAATAATTTTCAATTAGTGGTCACAGAGAGAACAACACTGCAGGGTATTTTGTCTCTGAGGACAGGAAAAACTTCCCACAACAATACATTTAACGAACCAGAACACTTGGAATTAAAGTTTTCAGGGCACTCAAAACACACCAACTTTCACATGCATTGTTTCAAATCCTCTTCAATCTCTATCAGTTCAACCTCACTCAGAAGACTCTGGGTCTGTGTTTTTCAAAACTTTTCCTGACAGCCCTGAAAGGCTTCAGACAGAATTTGAACAATTTCGGGATCTTTACTTTCTGATTGTTCTAGGGCATTGCAAAACAGAAGTGACAATTTTTATAATAAAGCATATTTCCACCCCCAACAATGTGTAGGATTTTTTTAAAGTGAAAGTTAGAAAAATAAATCTTCTTCATCCTGACATATTTTCAATCCTCTTAAAAGAATCTCAACAACTATATATAGTATGAAATTAGCTCTCGCCTGTTAGCCTTGTTCCTACATAGAATTTTCTAACGTGTCTCACCAGTAATAAATTGCAAACGAGGCTATGACTCTAAGAGTAGACTGTGTTTCATGGGTATTTAAACAACAGCATTAAGTACTATAGGAATCTGTGGAATGTGGAGTGCAGATTTATGTGTCTGAACAATTTCTTTACTGGTTTGTAATAAGCCAGCAAACTAACACTATTTTTATATTAATTTGGCCTCAGAAGGAGAGTATACCGGAGCATGACAAGAGCAACAAAAGTAAACTGGCATATACTTAATAACTGTAGCAGTGAATTGCCTCCAATACTAAAATATTTATTGAAACTGGGGGAAAAAAGCTAAAAGAATTACCCTCAACAGCCTGCTACCAGCTCTTTAACAGTGGGCAATGTAATGCCTTAAGGTACCTCAAACTGTCTTTCATTTTCTAGACTTAATGGCTGATTGCAGAAATCAATGTTGCCATTAGTAACAGAGTATTTGTTATGGCATGATTTCCTCTGTTGTTAGGCTTGCAGAATGATTACAGTATTAGTGAGGTGCTTTCTTTATAAAGGGCTGAAGATATAACTTTCAATTTACTATCCGTTAGTAAGTGACTTTAGAAATATACACGAGGCCAGAAATCTTACCTGTTATTACTTGGAGATTTTATTTCAGCAGTCATAGGCTAGTAACTTTAAAAATTGTACCAGGAAGCTCAATATTTTATAGACATCTCCAATGAAATATTATCTGCTTTGCTATTTTATACACAGCAAGTTAACATGACATACAATACAATTAAAATGTTTCAGTCCAACTTCTGTTTTTTCTTGTACTTTCAAAATGGGTGTGAATTAAGCAGAAAGCTTCATACAAGTCAAAATCTGCACAAAAGTTAGAAGATTGTCAAAAGGTTAGTAATTTGTATTTCTGAATCTCTTTTTAATCAGTCTGGTGGCCAGGTACAAGGACATAGCTAATGAACTGACATGGCTGTCAGAATGAGGGCAATCAGAGAGGTGAGCCAACATGCAGTTTATTAACCACAGCTCAAAGAAGGCATCCTTTACACAGAGACAGGGCAAGATCTGCAAGAGAGACACCATGAATAGAAGAGGAGGAGAAAACCACCTTCCAAAACCCGGAGCGAGAGGCCCTGGAAGCGACCCAGCCATTGGTGGCTGCTCAGACCCTGCACGGTGGGAAGGTGTCGGCTGAAAGGCTGGGAAACCTGCCCTTGGGGGGGGAAAGGGGGAGCAGAGAATTAACCTCGAAGGCATTGCAGGAACCCAAACACAGATGTTCTGGCAAACAATAGCACATCCCTGTGGACTGCAGGAAACCACTTGACAAGAGAATGCATAATCTACTTTACTGCCGTGATTTCAAATACAGCTATGAAGCTTTCAGTGCAGAGAGGGAAGAAGAAGGTATCATACCTGAAGAGGAGGGTGAGGAAGGATGAGGGCTGTCCTCCTGAGCACTCCCTGTCTGCGAGAGACCCCCACCTACTCCGCTTTCTTCAGTAATATTAGAAGACCCTGGTGTTGTTGACCTGCTGACAGATTGAGATTCTTGATCACTTCCAGACCCACGCCGCTCATCGAGACTACCTTGAATTATTTCATCTTCTCCTTTCCTGTCTCTTTTGTGGACCCTGGAGTGAACGACCACTTGGTGGTATGTTCTAAAAACCCTTCCGCAGTCCGGGCATTCAGTTGGCTTTTCTTTTATGTTTCCATGACTTTGTAAGTTGTAATCGAGTCCCTGGTTCATACCATGTGACAAAAAATCTCTACTGCCTTCTAAAGGGTCTAGTTTGCTTGGCAAGTCTCTCTGATTGCCCATTTTAGTGCTGTGAACCAAATCAGCAGGCATTTTCTGCTTAGAGCCATCTGCTCCTACTAACACATACTCCCGCTTCTCCTTATCAAACATAACTCCAGCATTTGCCAAAGTGTCTTCGTGGCTGCGCTGTATCTGCTGCTCTTTAGACAAAAAGCCATGTTCCATGGCCATTCCCCTTGCCATGAGCTGCCAGGCCTGATAGCTGTTTACTGGATCCATCTCTGCTGCTTTGGCGGCAGCTTGTAACCTTTCTATACAGCTGGATTTCAGAGGAGGCACCAGATTGAGACAGCCCAATAAAGAATGTTTATCCCCTTCGGCAATACTGTGGCCAATGCCGGAAATGGGCGAAAGGAGCTTCCCCAAGACTTCTTTCTCTTTCATGGGCATATCTCCTTTGCTGTAGATTTGATTTTGTTCACTCAACCTCGCCTTGTCAGGGGGAAGAAAACCACTCTGCAAACATGACAGATATCTTGAGTACAAGTTTGCATGAGCTTCCTGGGACATGCTGCTGATGGAGACAGGTACTTCAGGATCATTAGGAGATTTGTTCTTTACAGATAACTTATTCAGGTGAACTTTCATGTGGTTTTTAAGAAACCAAGGCTCTTTGAATCGCCTGCCGCAGATCTGACAGCAGTGTTCAAAGGAATCCTTGTGCTTTCTCATGTGGCCTTTTAGGAACCAGGCTTGGCTAAACACTTGGCCACACACCTCGCAACGAAACTCATTGGTGGATTGCTCCCCGTTCCCATTGGAGCCCTGGCCCTGTGCTGACTCTGCAGTTATGTGAGCCTTCTCCACGTGGCTGATCAGCTCCTCCTCCTGAGAGGCAGCAAAGTCACACAGAGTGCACTTGTAAGGCTTGTGTAGGATCCTTATGTGCCTGTCCAGCTCCTCTCGCTTCTTAAACTTGCCTTTGCAAAACGTGCATCTGAACCCGGCTGTCTGAGCCACAACTTCTTCCTGGACACTGACTGGCTTTGGAGAGGGAACAGGGTTTGAAATATCAGGTGTGTTGTGATTAGGTGGCACAGACAAGTTACAGTTTGCGAGCGGCATCGGCTGGGTGTGCTGCTGTGCTTTCACATCGGGTCGTGGCTGCAGGAGGCTGCTCTTCATCTGCTTGTCCCGAAGAATTGCTCTCTCCTCCAGCTCATGTAAAAGTCTGTTTTCTTCTCGGACCCTTCCACGACCTTTGCCAAGGTTTCCAAGCTTGTGAGTACGCAGGTGTATCTTCAGGTTGCCTTTCTGAGCTGCTCTGTGGTCACAGTAGGGACACTTGAACGGTTTCTCTCCAGTGTGAGTTCGCATGTGTAGGGACAGGATGCTGTTAAACCGAAAGCGTTTCCCGCAGAGGGGACAGGGGTACTTTCTGTTTTTCCTGGCGTCATCCTCGATGTCGCTCATCTGAGACATAATCCCAAGGTTCTGTCCATTTAGGAACTGCTGCAGATCCACACGCCCGTTCAAGCTGGTGTCAACCTCTCTGTTGAGCTGGTTTGCCAGCAGGGCCATCTGGCTGCTGATGGGCTGGTTTGCTATGGACATGTGACTTTTGTCTTCTAGTGGCACTGACGCCTTCTCCTCGGGATTCTGCCTGTTCTGGAGCTCTGGGAAGGCATGGCTGAGCTGGGAAGTGATCTGGTGCAGCTTCTGACTCATTGAATATTGTCCATTGAGTATGGTGCTGTTGAGATGGGCGTCAGCTTCTGGCACAGCTGAAGAAACACCAAGGCACAAACTAGCTTCCTCCATCTCTGAAAATCAGAAGATATTTTAGATTCAGACTGTGAAAGAGTTACAAGCATCGAATCACTGGCATACAATTTGCATTTTATGTTTTACCTACTCATAATAATGCCAAGGAATTAGTGTAAAAACAATTAAAAGTGTATTAAGTGCCAACTGTGCTACACAGGTTTGATCATACATGTACTCATTCTGTGTACCAAGAACTATTAATTACTATTTTATAATATGTGACAATTTCAAAATCTATTACAGAAGGGGCAAAGGCATTTACCATCTCCCTTGTCCTTCTTGTGAAACTGCACCTGTCTGCATTTCTAAACCTATAGAAAAAGAAATCTTATGCATCTCTCCCATTTTCATTTAAAAAGCCAGCAAAAAAAACCCCAAAATAGAAATCCATTTGTAACTTTCAATTCCATTAACCATATTCAATATATTACACATTCTACAATGAGAAAGATAGTTTTATGATTTGACAAAAAACCGATGGTATGATATTTACTGGTATACAATAAAACAAGATAATGTTTTGGGAAAAAATAAAGGACAAGCTTTAGAACAATAAAAGGGATTTTGCTTTAGTCAACAAAAAGTGCAGTAATATCTCATTAAGCTGATTAGTATGCTGCTTAGAAACAGTACTAGGTGCTGTAACACATGATTATAATCATAAAAATCCTTCAGTGTTTGCAAGTAAGCATTAACGAGGTATATTAAATTTTAAGGAGACTGCGACTAGCAGCTTTGTAAACCTCTGAGATTAAGATTTAACCCTTCTGTTACAAAACATTGTTATTTTGTAATTTTGAAACTGAGCCCATCAAAAGGCACATAAATAATCTTCTACCAAGTCTTTTAATTCATCATTGAGAACCTTCAGATTTTTGTTCCTAGGAAAACTTGCCAGATTACAGAAGGAATATCTCTGTCCTTCGATGGGTGATACATGTGATTTAAGACACTTTGATTTGTTTTAAAGAGCTCTTTTACAGAACTAGATAAAACCAATTAAAATCTGGGAAAGGCGTTGTGGAAAGCCTCAACAAGTTTAAGAATTCTGATAACTTTCCTAATACACAGTAATGACTACAAATTGTAGCTACACTATGTATACTGCAAGAAATTAAAATTCAAAGCTGTTTGTTAAACACAAGTGCTCTGTTCTGGTCTGCATAATTGTCCACAATAATCCATCCTTGCCACTTCTCTACTCTATACAGATATAATGTATCTATAAAATTCTGTTTAAAATATAAAGTTTCCCATAACTAATTCATAAACTATATGATGCTATAAGGTTATATTAGACTACCATTAAGATTTTTGTTGTTCAGTGGCGTGATTTGACACTTTATTCATTCTGAAAACTACTGAATTCTATAGGTTCTTAAAAATTAATTTGGTCAACCCACTCTTTAGCTTTAGCCAAAAGCATTTTTTCATTGTGTCTTCTACAAAGGCTCCAGGCACACCCTGGGTGGACTCCGTGCCTCACACAGCTTCACAGTGGCCACTTGATAGACAATTCAAGGTCCAGATCTGGCACACACTTAAAATGCATGTAATTGTGCTCATGGGAGCAGTCCAGTAGACTTCAAAGGGTGACTCTTGAAAGCAGAGTTCCACACATAATTAAGTATTTGCAGGATCAGGGCCTAAAAAACAAAGTATGGGAGGTCTTTGAGGGAAGACCTCTTTGCTTCTGACAGGATGACTGAGGTTGTGACACAATGCAGATCTTGAATGAAGTACAGGAAAGAGTTATATTCATGCATATTAAAAAAGAACAAGAGCTACCTAATTTTGCCCATATACATAGCAGATCTTTTTCAAAATTTAACATTCCTCTGACTTGGGTCACATATTGGGGACCCATTATTTGCCCACTATCAATGTTGTTATTTATAAAAATATTAAAGAAATCAAATCTATAAAAGGACTCAACTTAAATTTAGCTTGCAGTGTCTGATTTCCAAAGATGGAGAGTAGGAGAACATAATCAAGCCAGGTGTTCATGCAAGGCCATGTAGCAAACAGGAAAAAATCTTAATTTCCATTCAAGTTTTCTGTGCAGCAGACCATAATCATTCAAAATGTGGGTACACACAAACCACTTTTTTTTTTAACTTTTGAAACAACCAAATTCATGTTCAAAAAGATCAGTTAAACAACTGAATACTTGTGGTCCTTAGGTCTGACATTGCCTGAAGTTAACTGAGATTTTTAGCACATACCTGCATATGTACTTCTTAAAAAACAACCAATACTCTGCCAAAAAACAACACAAGAGAAACCCCAAAACCTAAATCTACTTTTTGTCTGGATTCCACATACCCAGGGGTGTTATTTCTCCTCACCATGCTGAAACAAGGCATGCTGGCAAACAAGAATGTGACAATTCCAGAAATGCATAGCATGTGCTGACACACACAAACATTGAAGAATGTTTAGAAAGGTCTTTGTGAATTGTCATTATTCTATAACAGTTTCAAAAATGCAGTCTAAATTTTTTTTTTTTCTTTAGTTGATCTCAGTAGGACCTGGTGCTTTTACATGCTCAGAAAGGTTTGGGTAGTTAATTTTAGCATTTTATGCTCTATCGAAGTTTGGAAATGCTGACAGATCCCAGTGGAATTTATTAATTCTGATGTTTAACCCTAAGCATCAGTTCAAATGTATGGTTATTTGTATTGGGGAGGGGCGCTGTGTTTGAGATTTTAGTTATTCTGTGCTTCCTTTAAAATATAACTTTAACAAAGTAACAACAGCAGTAGTAGCTGGAACATGGTAAGTTTTCCAATTTTTCCTTTTTGCTATTTTCTGTCTTCCAAAATCATACAGAAATATTTAATGTAGAATATTGAGAGAACAAGTAAGAAAAAATAGTTTAGAGGAATACCAAATCCATAATTTCTCATTTAAAGACTAATAATTTTGGATCAAGTTGGGGGAGCCTAACCCCACCCACATGGATCTTTTAGCATGGCAAATGTTATACATTTTTTATTAAATATGCAGAAAGGTCAGCAAAGCCTCTGCTTAGTGAGCAACAACCAGCTCTGAATGCCACCTACTCTGATCAGCCATGCAGTTTCTGGGATCCAGTTACCACAATCTCAAGATGTATTCTTCACTTAAACTGTATTTTCCCCCTCATCTGCCACTGCTTCTTGCCGGCCTGCTCCTTCTTCTGGCTCTCAATTGTCTCCTCTTTTCCTCACTCCAGCCTGGTTTCATTGCAAAGTATAACACAGCACTGAAAGTTCTGCCCTGTGAAATTTCTCCTCCTGCCATGCCCAGTTACAGCTTTTCTGAACACAGGGACCTTGCTTCAGCTTTCACAGGAATCACTCTTGGTATCCCCTAGCTCTTTCACAGCAAAACCTACCAAAATCTCATTTTGTATCCACATGCAGGACAGAAACAAAACACATCCTCATCCATCATTCCACTATGAATTAGATAACTCAACCTAATTTCACTAATTTCCCTAATTTCTCAAAAAAAAAACCCAAAAAAACAAAAAAAGAAATTAGCAATTTCATTCTCTCCCTCTTTATCCATCATCCCTGTCTAGATCTATGGCCAGACAGGGTTACACCAGGTGGAGTAAAGGGCTCTCATTCCCCAGGGAGGCTCCTGCAGTTCATGGTACCCACCTTGGTGTCAAAGTATACAGAAATTAAAAATCTGGAAAAGTCAAGTTACAATTTCTACTTTGATGTTTCTTGATAGGGAGGACATCTTTCTTTCAATTTTTAAATATATAGTCTATCACATTAGTTTCATGATCCTGATCTCTGGTATAAGGAAAGGCACAGAATGTTTTGCCATCTCTCATGCTGGGAACAGAAGCACAATGTTCTCTGTAGTTAACAAATGTTTACAAAATGATCTGCAAATCAAATTTGAGATTGTTAAGGAATTCAAAATATATTTGTTGAAGTTTATTTAGTAGATTTATGACCTTTAATTTTCTCAAATGTTGGGTAAAGACAGTGTCCCTCAGGACGTGGCACCGCACCCGAGCATATTGGGATCAGGAGTTATGGGCTGTCCTTTCTGACCTAAAGAAACCCTCAGCTCTTGCCCAGGTGAATTGCTGTGGCCAAAAAGCCCCAAACTGACCCCAGTTCAGACAGAGGCTACAGCCCAGCCGGGCTCACAGTGCACTGGGCAGGGCAGGAGCACCCTTGGCAGGAAGCACACCAACCACCCAAGTCCATCTTGCCTTCTACTGCGCCCAGTGGGCAGGATCCCGTTCCTCTGAGGAGAGCTCAGCTTATGAAACTTACTATGGGATACAGATATTATAAAATACTCTCTCTCATCTCCCACATAAAGGTACAGTGAGACATTTAAGTCCCTTTGATGATACTAATAGTTATTTTGATTTCACTCACATTTTTGCCCTCAAGACTATTTCCTGTGATATCAATAGCGAAAGTTCTGACTTTAGCCATTTCAATTGAACACACAGATTTTATTTAACTATTTGAAATGGATTACTGGAATTTAAAACCAATTATGACACCAGAAATGCCTGTCATCACAACTACATTAATGTAATACGAGAAGCTGAGCTTCCTCTTGCTGGAAACGGAGCAAAAAAAATGGCAAGCAGAATGAGAGAATTTAAAGATAAATCTGTGGCTACACACACATGTAAACATATGCAGGCACACGCATATCTGTATACAGACACATATGTGCAGACACACACCTGTTATCTTTGTAAACAGATGGACCAAATTCAGCTTTTATTTACACCTGTTCATTCCTGCTGGACACACACACACACTGAAGCTCTCCCCTCTTCAGTGCTGTAGAGAAAACAGTCATTTTAAAACCACTGTTGTGCTGTTATTATAGCTTAGATTAGGTTAGTTAAAAGATTTACAGTTCAGTAAGCAAAGTAATGCTTTACAAGCTCACGTGCTCAAACAACAAGCTCGCTCTGGCCCTGATCCTCTGAGCAGTTAGTGCTACACACACTGTTACTTGT